CTGTTGGTGAAGTGTTTTGTGTCCTTGTGACAAATGCATCAAACACAAGAAGCAAACAAGAGTCACTAGAAAATAATGGTGGAATGTAAGTCCACACATTCCAAGTCATAAATTAGTGATTAAAAAAAAAAAAAGAAAAACTGTCCCTCGTTAACTAGGACAGAATTACTGCCACTGTTTGAAGTGTACTAGCCAATCAACCATATCAAGGAGCAGGGCTTCCTAGAACAGGGAGAGAAATTCCACTGGAAAAACAGAGGGAGAAGGGCAGGGGTGAAGAGAACAGGAATAGTCTATAATAAAAACTGCAAATTTCAAATTTCAAAGTCATCTTGTCCATCCTCCATCTGAAGCAGGAATCCCTTCTCCCCCCACCTATTTAGACTATAATATAAAATAAAACATAATAATTATTACTATTTAAAAAGCATACTGTGTGAGGTATTTTACATGTATTTTCTCATTTAATTTTTAAAATGATCCTATGAGATCAGTGATGCAATTTTACAGATGAATGCATGTGCTGCTAAAGGAACACAGATCCTCTTTGGCATTCATTCATTCATTCATTCACTCATTCATTCATTCATGAAATCATTCACTCATTCAGCAAACACATACCAGGTCCTAAATATACCAAAAACCAATCATCTTCAGTGACAGGGAACTCAGTACCCAAAAGGCAACCTACTGGATTTTTGGACAACTCTAAAAACTAGGAAGTTCTTCCTTACAGTGATCTGAAATATGTCTCTGGGTTAACTGAGCAATAGGTCACTGTGGTGTCCTCGTGTCACTTAGAACAAAATGAGATAAGAGGAAATGGTACATGTAAGAAGTTTACAGGAGACTACCAATATTTCCTGTTTCTGATGTCAGCTCAGTGCAGTTTTTATACTTAAAAAATTGTATGGTTTTCATGTTAAGTCTTTTCCTTTGGGGATAGTAGATGGTTACATCCCATTAACCTCAGAAGAGTGATGTAGCCTGCCTTCCAAATAGTTTTGAAAAGCCCTTAATACTTTGAACGCACTGTCAGAGGATGATACATTTGCCACCCACATAAAAGTGAGTCTGTGCGATGCCAGCACGTAAATATCAGGAATAGTTTTATACAACCAGGAAGTCCATGAATACTGAGCCAATCAGTGAGGAGGACACGTTTTAGAGCCTCCCTTCCACATCCTCTCTCGGCAGCATCTTACAGAATGGTCTTTTAAGTTGTCAGCATCCTAGCAGGCCTGATTTTCTCCACTTTACGTGAGGAATTCAGATCTAAAAAGGAGACACTGGAAGCCAGGAAGCCGGGAATCACTGCACCAGGAGAACCCACTGTTGATTTACATCCTACTGCCCACAGTTCTGCAAAAGACCAGGCACTGCAACGGGCAGCTACCATCCCCTGGAACTCCAAGATAAACGAGATGATCTTTGTTAACAGGTTTTCCTTCTAGACCTTTAGGGGCCTTTGGGGAAATTGGTTTTGTTCAGAGTCTTTGGCCCTCAACTTATTACTGTTTCCATCATTATTATATCCAGAGTATATAGCAGGACCTAAGAAGTCTAACTGTAACCAACATAACAAATGTTTTCTATAATAATATGACAATAGTTTAAATGTATTGAGCTCTTACTATATATACTTGGCATTTACATGAAATAATTTTAATTATTCCTCACAGCAGCACTGGGATTGGTAAGTATTCCATTTGCCAGATGTTGAAACTGAGACAAAAAGATATTAAGTAACTTATTTAGCTTAGTAATTACATGGCAGAACTGGGCCTTGAACCTGTCTTTCTCTACCCACTAGGCCTTCCTTTCAAGAAAATAATACTAGTAATAGCCATCATTGTGCCAGGTACTATTCCAAGCACTTTCCTTATTTAAACTCATTTCATCTTCATAATTATTCTATTTTGCAGCTGATGTAAAGCAGGGTTAAATAACCTGTCCCAGGCCACACAGCAAGCATATGGCAGAGCTGCGTTTTGAACTCAAGCAGTCTGATGCCAGAGACCAGACCACTATTCTAAAGCAGTAGCACTATTCCACCTTGAATTGAATGAATAAGATAAATACTTCCTAGTGAGGCATTGCCCATCTCTCTGCAGTCAGTCTGACCTACTCACCCAGGTGTACAGCCCATGTAGCTTCTGTTACAGGACAGAGGTGGTTTGTGAAGTATACCATTTTAACATCCTCTTTTGGGAAAAGGTAGACAAGGAAACTGATGGGCAGGAAGGTTAAGGTTCTTCCTCAGGGTTCTCTGAGCAAGCTAGCAGTAGGTTCAAGGTTCTAGACTCCTGTTCTCAATCCACTAGGCTGTTACCTTGCTCTTGAATGATGAAAGCTTGCCTTATCTTTTCAGGACAGGGTGAGACCTGGAGAAGATTCCAGGGGCTTGGGAACACACTTGCTCTTATGCAATGACTCAAGGTCATTGAAGGGCAGAGGATATTTCACTAGGGGACAATCACATCCAAAGGATCCACAAGTTCCCCTTTCATAGTAAAGGCTCCAAACTAGCTGCGTTCTTCTTGTGACTTGGCAGGTAGCTCACCCAGGCTGCAGCAAATAGTGCTTATCTGAGAGATTGGAAGAGACCAAGCTCCCAGCCTGCCCTGGAGAGAGCACATTTGTAAGCAGAAAGGGCTACCTGCCAAGTCAGATTACAGGAAGTGACAACAGGATACTTCTCCCCAAAAGACCTGGACCACATTTTGTAGTCCATCATGGAATGACAGCCTTGAGGTGGGAGAAGATTAGAGTAACAGCAGGGGCTAGAAACTCCTAAACACAGCCTGGGGAGCTAGTGGAGACCAATCTACCTGATTTGTTTAATGACATAGTTTAAGCATTCTCCTGCCTCCTGCCTGTTTTCTTTCTCCTAACTGTTAACATTGGAGTTAATTACTTACAATTAATAATTATAACAAGAACTATTAGGGCTCCTAACAATTGTAACCACATAAGATCTTTTATCTCAATAGTGTCAGGCTATCTCCTCTAAGCAACCCAGAAAAATGCCTTCAAGAAGGATGGGCCTAGCCTTTACCTGGCCTCCACCTAGCACCAGCATTGTCGCTCAATGCTCCATACACGTGACGTTATTTACTTCTCACAACCACATTATATCGTAGGCATTATCATCTCCTGTTTTACTGATGAAGAAATTGAGGGTCAGAGAAGTTAAGTAACTTGCTCAAGGACGTAAATGAAAGAAATTGTACATTTTTCCATCAGACCTTGTCGCCACGTGAATCAAGAGATGGAGTTAACTACAGGAAGGGAACCTCTGTGGGTCTTTTCACCCTTTCGGACAATACTCATGTGCAAATTATTCAAGAGACCAACTGGATTCTAGATAACCTGACCCTGAATTGCTGTCTCTATAATTTTTTTTCCCCTTTCTTTTCTCTGGTGTCTTGGTAACCACAGCTTTGTTCCTTTAATAGCAGAGAGGCTGGCATACAGTGATGATATGGTTTGTTCCATAAATTCACTACTGGGCAAAGAACCATGAACCATGGTAAACTTGTGGGAGAGGAATGTGACTTTAAAGACAAGTTTTTATCCAGAAGATTCAGGGTCTAAGATATTTTTCTCTCCTCTGCTGATAAAACTCTGACTCAAGTAAGAACACTACTAAGGAACCAGCAGTAGCTGGCACCCAAACACACCAGCTCAGGAAAAAGCACAGATCCAAAGGTCAGTGAAAGAACAATACGAGTCTCCAAGTACTAAGAGGACTGTTGACAATCAGCACAGGGCAGATTCTCCGCGGTGAGGAGCAACTCTCTGAGACAAAAAATTTCTCAGCTTGTTTCAGTTTATACTTTTGAAGAATTGACATGCACTTTGAGTTTCTGGGTGAATGAGTGTGAGCATAATTCCTAACAGGTTCTTCTTTCGCAAACGTATTTGCTAACTGAAATCTCAAAAAAACTAACCGATGAAGGAACCCAGAATGAAATGCCTGCCTGGAAGGTGGATTTCTCTCCCAAGGTCATCCCAGTAGGGTCTTGGGTTTGGAGGTGATTTCTTTCCTTTCTCTCAGGACAGAATTGGGTGTAGAATGTGGCTCTTGGGCTGTCAAGAACAGAAGCAGTACCAGCTGTGGGATCAGGAAAACAAAAATGGATCCTAGAGGTAAAATTACTTAAAAAAAAAAAAGGCAGGTCCCAGAAGAACAATCTCCTTGGTATATTTGCTATTAAAAGAAAAAGAGAGAAAAAGTGGACACATTCAAAAAATTTAAATGTCAGACCTGAAGTTACGTTTTTGTAAAGCAATGAGGAAACAGTCCTTACTTTAACCCAAGGTCAACAGGCGGCCAGTGCAGCTCTGAATGTAAATAATCCTAACCAGACTGCAAAGTGGTTTAAAAAGAGTGTTCAAAGGAGAACAAAGAAAACAGTAGACTTTTCTTTTTTTTTAGAGAAAAAAGAGAAAGGGAATCTGGAGTGGACGGGCTTCTAAGCAGGGTAACAGAATTTACCTGTCTGAGAAACAGGCTTTCAGGGAAAAAAAATTAAGGACATTTCATGGGTTTAGATTGAAATCCCATCCCCTCTGGTGTGATTAATGAAGCAAGTAAGGCAAAATCAGGCCGTTAAGGCAATTCTGTATTCAGCTGGCGCTGGCCTCCCAGCCCCCATTAAACAGGCTGAGCTGGTCTGCACCTTTGAGTTACGTTTCCAAAAAGTCTCTACTCCACCCCAGGGTAAAAAATATATATATATATATCAGATCAACTTCCCAGGCAAGCAGAAACTGGATTAATGATTAAGAGAAACAAAAGCCTAGGAGAACTTTCCTGTGCCACCAAAATGTCAAAGGCATCCCTCTGTTCTTCCTTCTCAAAAGGGCTTCTCCCTCTGGGACAAACACCCAGGGCTAAGCCATTCAGCTGAAATTTTTCATTCAAATTCCTCGTGCGGATCCCTCAAGGGCCAGTGATCTAAATGCCAAGAGAGAAAAATGGAGTTCCAGCTCACCTTTTAAGTGTCTGTTTGGGGCTCTCACAGCAGTAGCAGTCCCGCAGCTCTCATGCCTTGTGGGTGAATCCAGCAGCTCCCTGGGCCAGCTGAGCTGTGACCAGCCTCAACCTCTGCGTACAGGTGCCTAGAGGAAGGAGGAGGGCATTGGTCGCTGGAGAGCAGGAAATGTGTGACATCACGGGAGCCTCCACGGATAAAACTCTGCTGGGCCCTTAGCTACTGAAACAATCAGTAGGCCCCGCCCACCTGTCATTTACCTGAATACCTGGGAGCAGGTAGGTGGCGTCTCTGCGTGGACAAATGAATCAGTTAGAGCAATTTGCTGGATGGAATGTACTTTCTTTTCTGAGCACAACACACGTGGCCATCCCCGTGGACCGATCTGAATTTATAAGCCCGGTTGCTTCCCTGGCTCCCTCGTCCCACCCCTACGCCAATAGCTGCCTACAAAAGAGTTAAAAAGGAAGTTTAAACACCAAAACGCGACAGGGGTTTAGTGGGCATGAAAAGTAAGAGTGTGAAGATGGACCTCTTGGGAAATATCTGAGATGGACCCCCACATTCCTTTTTGAATGGCGTTCACGTGAACCCCAAGTGCTTTTCTTCTCAGTGTTACAACCTAAGAACGCATTGAGGATGACATTGCAAATTCATCTAAAACAAAAAACAATAAAACAACAACAACAACAACAAAGTATGGCACTTGTCAGCAGTTTCAGTCGAGTTTACAAACACTTTTCTCCTACTCCCAGCATTTTCATTCCATATTAAGGAGCCTAAAGCCTCAGTCATTCCTACCTCTGCTGGCCTGGCAGTTAGATTCACGTGGCAGTTACAGTTCACCATAGGCCTGCAATTAGGAGCAATTTAAATGATTCAGATTTGAATGACAGTACAGGAATAGTGTGGCGTTGGCTGCTGGTTAGAGCCAGGAAGGAGGAGTCAGAAATATTTCTGTCCCAAGCTTGGAGTGTGACCCTGTACAAGTCATGGTGTTGCTTCAGCTTTTCCAGCAGGAAAGGACAGGGTAACGCTACAACCCAGCCAGCACCACAGCTGGGAGCTATTACCACTGACTGTTAAACCCTTTGGCATCTTTCAGAGGATTGTAAACAACTCCCATCATTGGATTTAAATGTTGTGTATTTCTGTGGCCCCCGTCCAGCATCTCTGGACAATTTGTTCACTCTCTGGAATGTGTTACCTGGGGGAAATTGTGGGTTCTCCTTCCCAGGAGGATGACCTGCTTGAAGAGATATTTCTTCCCCCTTGAAGAAAAAAAATGTTGAAATTCCTATTTTCCCCCCCATACTGTCTCCCTTTTTTTTCCTTTTCCCCTCCTCCTGACATTGACATGGCTTTGGTTCCACAGGTTCTAATATTGTACTAATTTAGAGGAGTTTAGACCAGTTGGTTGGTTGGTTGGTGCTGTGGCTTGGAGGAGGGGTGAGGGAGCAGAAGGATGAATGGGAGGGGAGAGGCGGGGGAGGGGGGGGGACTGGGTCTCAATTCGTTTTGCACTAGACCTTCACAGTGACTGGGTACAGCCAGTCATTCGATACCTTGTAAAACAACCAGGAAGGCAAGGAGGAGAAATTCTAGTCAAGGGTGCAAGGAGGGAGAAGGGGTGTGTGTGTGTAAGGGGGGTGGGGTGGGGAATGCCGTGCTGGGCAGGCTCTGGTACTTCACTTGCAAGACAGCTGGCTCCTCTCCTGAGCCATTGAGCCATTCCAGACTGCCCTAAACTACCTTCCTCACCTGGAAACTGGGCGTGCTTTGAAAAGAGCTGGAAGCTTAAAAAACAAAAAAAGTCCCCATTCATGTTTTTATCCAATAGAAACTAAGGTAGGGGTGGCTACTTTTTAATTTTAAAAACAACATAAAGATGAAGGCAGCAATGCCTTTATATGTAGGTCTTTCAGGGGAAAGTACCAGTCCTCCAGTTGGATACTCAATTGAGAAACAGCAGCGATGATGTTCCCTCACTGGACAGGGTTTCCTGTGGGACAGGAGGAGGGGCTGGGCCAGCCTGCCAACCTGATGAATCACCTGGAAGGTTCACCTCCAGCAGCCTGCCTTCCCTGTGTGTCAATCATTCACCTGTTTTGAAGGGCACCAGGTCCAACTTGGGAGAGGTGAATCATAGTCAGGTTTGGGGGAGAGGGTGGGAGGAGGATTGCAGAGAAAAAGAATTTGCAAGAAGTGACACTGCATAATGCTTTAGCCAAAAGCCTTAAGGCTATAGGGCTTCACTTACTATATTCACATACACACACAGCCATCTGCATATATGGTCTGATGAATACAAATTAAGAACAAGAGCTAAACCAGGATTGAAGTTCACTCCCAGAAAGGGTTTATAAAAGAAGAGAAAAAAAAAAACACAGGTGGGGCCGGCAGAGTGGCGCGATGGTTAAGAACTGGCTTGGGATGCCAGAGGGCCCCGTTTCGGATCCCACATATGAGGGCCAGTGACACTGCCCTCCACAGCTAAGATGCTGAACAACAGCTCAACCTGGAGCTGGGCTGCCTGTGAGTCGCTGGCGACGGCGTAGGCTGCAGCCCCTGTTGCAGTGGGTTGCCATGGGCTACCGTGTGTAGCCAGCAGCCAGCGTGAGCAGCCGTCCAGAAGCCGGCGACTGATCTGCCTCACCTGGGAAGAGTGCAGTGATGGTGCCAACTTGGGCCAGTGAAGCAACGTCTTCCACAACTAGACTGAAGAACAAAACGACAGCAACTTGTCTGTTCCCCTTCCCCTAATTCCCCAGCACTGTTCCCATCTCCCAATTGCCCAGTAAAAATCTTAAAAAGAACAAATAAACAAAAAAACCAAACAAACAAACCAAAAAAACCCACAAAAAAAACCACAGGTGTATTTCATATAACCGGCTGTTCCAAGTGAGATGTGTCTTGGTACTCCCGGATTTGGAATAATCTTTAAAGGTTTAAAAAACTCAATATGAGTTTATTAATTCATTCAGGCTATTGCATTATTATGGAAATGATATTTCTAAAGTATTTGTGAAAAGATAGAAATAATAATAAAGAACTAATTTTGAATAAGTGCTTAGCAGGTGCCACTTACTGTTCTAAGAACTCTACACCAAGTCTATAAGTTAGGTACTATTACTATCTGCATTTACAGCCGGAAATAGAGAGGCTGAGTTTGCTTAAGGACAATACAACCAGCAAGTGGCAGAGCCAGAGCAGTTTTAACCTCTGGAAAGAAAGGGGAGAAAGACTTTGATTTCATGCTCACAGGCAACTTCCTGGACACTATGAAGTTTTTTACCTATCCTCTATTCAGAAGGAAGTACCTTGAAGAACTGGCCCTGGGGAATGTAGTGTCTGGGAAGGAATACCTCCAATTGCAAATGAGTTAGTTATCTGGTTTATACATTGAGAGAGAGAGAGAGAGAGAGAGAGAGAGAGAGAGAGAGAATATCATATATATGTACATATAGAACATATATATATATATATATATATATATATATATATATATACATATATATGGTGTGTGTGTGTAATGAGAAAACACACCAGGAAATCCATCACCCCTGTTGTATACTTGAAATTTTCTTTTTGAGGTCTATCAAACCAACCCCAAGAAGGGAAAGCCAACTTGAGGGACCCTTTCAGAATGATCAGTTGTAGCTCTCTATGATATCTTTTATGGTTGTTTCTCTTTGTAACTTCATCAGTCTATCCCCTTTAAAAATCTGAAAATCTTATCAGAATAGCCGTAAGAACATGGAACTCCATACAACTGGATGATTTGAGATAATATAAAATTAAATGCCAATATGAACCACTGCCCAGATAGATGGTGTAGACCACGGTTGGCAAATACTAAACAGACTTCTCCATTGCCACCTCCCATACCATTCTTATAGTCATTGCCCAAAGGCCACGGAGCCCTTGAGCTCACAGGTAACCTCAGAATCTTCAAGACATAAGTCCAAACAGTGCAATTTTTATCCCTAGTTTGACAGAAAGTGGGAGGGATTATCGAAAAAGGAAAAGATTGGTGTTGGCTAGTGCCAACGGGAAAGATTTCATGGAGAATGGAACATGAATTGGACCTTGAAGGATCTGGAGACAGCGAAAAGGACAAACAGTAGGTGGAGGTAGGGGTGATCATGGCCTGTGAGGGGTGAGGGTGGGGGAGGAAGCTGTGTGGTGGGGGAAGAAGGGAAAGACCAGACAACGAAATACTCATCCTGCTGGGGTGAAGAGGATCCATTGCATGCTAAATTGGGATGGGTAAGGTGGGACCAGATTATGAAGACCCTCAAGGACTGAGTGCTTCAGGTCTTCACAGTATTGCTGGCTGTGAAGTACTTCTCTCATAATGATGAAACAGTTTTTTTAAAAAAGGAAGAATGAAAGAAATTCAGTATCTCAGGCATGGGGTAATGTATTAAGAGCGACAATGTTTTCAGTGTTGAGCAAAACTTCCATTCTATGGCATTTCAGCTATCATATGAGCATCTTTCTCTTTAGAAGCAAGTCTCCTTTGCAGTCACCATATCCTGTAAACTTTGTTCCTTGGAGAGCCAGGTGGAACGCATTAGAAAGCTCTCTGAACTCAAGGTTGGGCCTGTCCGACTTAACCAGCCAGCTCACTTGGGCTTTTTGATTAGTTTGAATTCTTTTATGTATCTTGACAGGGAAATCTAAAGGGGGAAAGGAGGCCTGTTTTCAAAGCTCTTTTCTTCTAAATCACCACAATGAAGGTTGGCGTTCTCAAGGATTCCTCCTGGCAATGAACCTGTTGCTAAGTCCATGCTTCGTGATTCGTTAGAATTACTTTGCCCTTGTTTGCTTCCTTCTTTTTCTCATGGCATATTTGTAGAGTTGTCTAAGAAGACTGAATGCCACAACAAAATACATATTCCATCTGATTTTAATAAAGGCATCTCCAGAAAAAGCCTCTTTGGCTGAAATTATTTAGCACTATGAGATGGAATTACTGTATACGTTTCATCATATTGGCCTCAGTTTTTTTAAAACTAGCTTAGCTTCAAATCTTTCATTGGCTAATTACAAGCACTTAGAATGATGCAAATAAGCAGATCCCTGAAGGGCAATTGTGGAAAATAATAGTAATAATCACAAATA